AACTGACAGGGGTCTGAATACTTCCCGTACCACTGCATTTGGAATGGCTTGCCAGGATACTGATCTGCAGCCTTTATGGACAGAATGTTACTGTGGATTTTGTCATAAATGTTTCTTGCTTACTTTGCTTATCCTAAAGCTAGCTCATGAATTACCAAACTAAACTTTAAAGGGTGGGGTATGAGATGCTTTGCATACCGATAAGGCCCAATAAATTAAATGTTTCATCAAAAAATTAATAATATCAATCTCCTCTCAAATTTACAATCCTGGAACAACCTTATTCACTTTAAGTGAACATCCACATCTTGTGATCCATTTATCAAACTGCCCTCTGACAGTCTCTCTCCCCTCTGCGCATGACAGAAAATGGTTGAGCGGAGGTTTGAGGTGAGTTCTGGAAGTTTTAATCTATTATTTGTGAGCTTTTCTCTGTAGCGTCTGTGATTTTAAAGTAAAGAATAAACCAAGAAAGCTAAAGACCATCAAGTTTTTCCATTTATATAGTGCCAAATCACAATAGTTGTCTCAAGGCATTGCACAAAGTCAGCATTTTTCACCATAAAACTACCCTGCTAGCATGAAATGCTAGTGCAGCCAGCACACAAAATTGTTATACGGTTGCGTAGATAGTTTATGTTAGGAATTATGTAGAAAAGGTGTTAAAGCAGGGGTCCAAAGTCTTGACCCTGAAAGCCTGAGAACAGGCGTTTTGTGTTCCTGCATGGGTTTTTGGGGTAAGCCAGGAGAAAGGGGACTGGGCCTTTGACTTGTCTATTTCTTAAAAGTTGCATGCTTGAATGGCAAGAAAAAAACATCTTATATTCCACCTTCAAGCCATTTTCACGTCAGAATACAGGTGTGGCAAAAAGTTGTGAACACCATTTGCGAGTTCTCAGAAGGCCTAAAACATTTGTGAGGAATTCTCACAAGAGGTGCATGCCCTCACTCTTATGCCGCTGGTATTTTGAAAATGAAACCTTTGCTTAACAGAAATGTAAGACTGTCCTAGGAAGCGTTGATGACCAGTGACACTAAATCGTGACAGATTGGAGACCTGAAAAGAAAATGAAGTCCTTAATATTTATGAAACAGTCTCCTATCAGTGCTTAGGGCGTCCTGAACTTAAATGGCTCAATTTGACAGAAAACCTTTAAATAAAAATTTGAAGTAGGCACTTGGATTTTAATTTATTTTTTTTTTTTTTACTAAGATGCTCTTCAAATGTTTTACCTCACCTTTTACTTTTTCACAATCTGGTCAGCACTTTGATCTATTCCCATCTATTTTTGAATTCTTTTAAACAAATGTGTCAGATGAACCTGCCCCGTCCTACATAGATCAATATGTATTTGCCTTGGTGAAATTAGCAATCACTCCCTGTCCTCCATCATTTAGAGAGAAACGCGGTGAACTCATAATGAAGGCCGTTGGCCGACAATGAGCACCGGGGCTGAGAATGGAGCATCGTGTAAATGTGTGATTGGATGTAATTTAGTCGATAATACCAACGGCCTTAGGATGGCTCGTTGTCCCTGGGTCAATATGAGATTCACACAATGCATTACTCTGCTGTGCTTAATAGGGAATGGATCAGACTTTAAATGCTTCTTTGGGCCAGGCCTTCACCTCATTTGTTTTTACAGAAATAAAACAAATAAACGGAGCATCCACCTTCAGGCTCCGGGCTCAGAACAGAACATGCCATGGAACTTCGTCGCTCCACCCCCAGTTTTGTGTTATTGTGTCCCCCTGGGTAAGACGAAGGGGGGTTTAAGTGATCGTCAAGGTTGTACAGTCTCGTAGGAGGGGGTCACTGAGGCAGGAGTACCCTCAGACTCACCGTCTTTAATATTACATGTTGGTTCATCGTAACCTCCTTTAGCAGCTCCTACCAGCTCCAGTTTGGCTTGATGCAGCTTTGCGTGTACAGCTGTTGGCGTTTAGGCAGGTGTCCATGTGTGCGTTTTGGAGGCTGGCGCTGTCTGATGTGGCGATGGAGGAGGTGTGCTGTAGGTTTACATGGTGTCGCAGGAGGACATCTTCCCTCATCTTGACTCTGCCCCGATCCCAACTGGTAAGACTTGGGATTTGGAGATTTTCTGGCTTTTTTCTTTTTCTCTCTCTCTCTTGAGCAGATGGGGTAAGAAGCATAGAGACTGATGTAAATTAACTGTCCCTGTTCAGTTTTAGACCATCATTTTGTGAAGCTGTGGGGAAGATGTGAAAAATGAAGAGTGTATTATTTTAAATCTCTAATAAAAACTTGGGAAAGAAAACCAGGAGACGGCTTTTGTTCGTACTCATCTGAAACACTTTTACTTAGATTTAGTGCTGTGAAAAATAACGCGTTAATTTAGTTAATTAATGTGAAATGTTTAATGCATTAACAAAATTAATGTAATTAATGCAGTTTTTTTATTTTATGTAATCTGACACCTCAAACTCATGAGCGGCTCTGAAGGAGGGGGCAGCATTGCGCTATGCTGGTGTCTGACCTGCTGGAAATGATTAGAAGCAGCAGCAGCAGAAAAAGAGGAGAGGAAAAGCTTGCTAGCATGGACAATGCTGTCCATGGAGCGCTGTCTAGATCGGTACAAAGCAGAGCCCAAAATGGATATTGGACACTGTCCATTACAGTGGTGGTTGAAGAGAGAAGAAGCACTTGCATGCAAGTACCTGTCAACCCCTGCAACCACACTGCCTTGTGAGAGGTTATTCTCACTCTCAGGTCACATCGTCGGTGCGCTCCAGGCTGCAGCGTCCAGCGCACGGTCCATTCTCAAAGTGGCACAACCAAAAAACTATAATTAGCACACGATAGTTCATGTCCGCACATGTTCTCTACTTTCTGTCTTATTTGTGCCTGAAGCGCTCTGCTACTGCGGAGCTCATCACCTGTGCTGCGGTGATTTCACCTCACTGACGCAGCATCGAAACGCGCGCTCCGCTTTGCGGTCAGGAGATCCCTTTGATCTGCGCAAAAGTAACTGATGAGGTGAAAAAGTAAGAATCCAGGCATCAGTTTTTCTGGAGAGTTTAGAGGAGGTGCAGGAAGATGAGAGACAGTCAGGACAGGAAATAGTTAAATAAAAACAAGAAAACAAAACAAAGTGTTGAAAAGTAAAATGTAGGTAGATTTATCTCCACTACACGTTTTTACCAGTAAAAAACAATAAGTTATACATGTCATATTTACACATCTGATACAATTCAGATCACCTTCAAAACTCAGTCACACACCCAGGGCCGTTTCAAGGCATTCTGGGGCCAAGGCAAAACATAACACCCCCCCACCCCACCCCTATAACTGGGCTCCCCAGAAGCCTCTGTGTAATCCAAACCCCATCCAGGATTATTAGTTATACAGTGCCAATCTCCAGCGGTCAATGGGCAATCAGGCGGGGTACACCCTGGACAGAGAGCCAGTCCATTGCAGGGCAACACAGAGACACACAGGACAAACAATCACGCACACACACACTCATACCCAAGGAGAATTTAGACAGACCAATCAACCTAACAGTCATGTTTTTGGACTGTGGGAGGAAGCCGGAGTACCCAGAGAGAACCCATGCATGCACAGGGAGAACATGCAAACTCCATGCATAAACATCCCAGGCTGGGAAGCGAACCCAGGACCTTCTTGCTGCAAGGCAACAGCTCTAACCACTGCGCAGCCCCAGCCAGGCTAATGATCAGATAAATTGCAATTAATCACAATTAATTACAGAAAATGTGCAATTAATTAGTTAATTTTTTTATCGACTTACAATCCTACTTAGAATTTATTATTTTTCAGCTTTTCTGAAGTTTGCTGAAATAAATCTCAGTCAGACTAATGGAATAAATCATCATTTGTTTTCTTTGTACTGATTTGTATTCAACTCCTGCTTTTCATATGTACATGACTAATCACTATGTAAATTGTTATAAATTACAAGTGGATTTATAGATGGATTCTTAAACAGACTTTTACAAAACTGCTGCACTAAAAAGGGCTTATTTTGTTGATCTTTTTAAATCAAAGGAGACTAAATGCAAAATTATAATGTTGAAAGCCAAAACTTAGTCAGAACACAGATTGAAAAAATATCAGACATGTTTTAACATTATCCCTAATATCAGCCTTAATAATATTATTTGAGCTTGACTTATATTGTTTATATTTTAGTTTTTTTTTTTATTTAATTTTAACTCAAAGCCTTTTTTAAGCAATTTAAATTAAACATCTGTGGAGTTTTTAACACTAATGCAGATTTTATTTTTAATTGACAAGTTTATAGTATATACTATATATGTTACTCAAATCTATAATAAAAAGACTTGTACTGGTTCAAAGCTTATACAGAACTAGAAATAAAACCAGACAGCTTGCATTTTGGTTGTTTTTAACCCTAAAATATTTTTAGATTAAACAATCTTATAGATTAAAGTGTATTCAACTTTTTACCTAGCAGTAGTAGAATGCAAATTAAAAGTTGTAAAAGGATTTATTCAGTACATTTATTTAGTTTATGGGTTTTTTGTATTAATTAATGTCGTATCAATATTAATGTATTGACTTAAATGCTTTTTATGAGTTCCATAAGACTTTGTTGGTTGTGCGACTGCAGACCTTTCATTCACATATAGCTGCAGGCAGGATTTAGTGTTTCAACACCTCCCTCTTTTGCTGTTTACCAGAAATCATATCAGTCTTCACTTCTGGATCATAATTTATAGCCATCTGTAACATTTTCTACTCTGACCTCTCCAGGTTAATTATCCTGGAGGAAAGCTTGTCAAACAGTGCCAAAGTAGCTTCAGCTTTCAGGTTGATGAGACTGCTACGTGTGTGTGTGTGTGTGTGTGTGTGTGTGTGTGTGCGTGCGCGCGCGCGCGTGCGTGCGTGCATGTGTTCTTTTGTACATTTAAAGCAAGAGTGTGTCTCTTTTGATCTCATATCCTTTTCACACTCTGTTTCTCATCCTCTGTGTCTCTGTTTCCTGCCTGAACAGCTTCCTGCTGACCTCAATAAGATGCACCTAACAGACCACGCCCACCAGCAGGTGACACACATGGCTCCCAGCCAATCAGGATGCAGCATTACCAGCGATTCAGGGTCCAGCAGCTTGTCGGATATTTACCAGGTGGGTACCTGATTGTTGGTTTTTGCTGTATTAGATAAGATACAACAAAACATAAACAATTCTGTATTTTTGTATTTACTCAGTATTTTTCATCCCATAATGAATATTCTTTTGGCTCTGCTACATGTTATTGCTATTTCTGATTTAGTTTCCTACATTGGTATAAATTTCAATTTCAGGCTCTGGAAGTAAACCATTTCATCTTTTTGCCCACATGTATGTCACTAATCAGCTTTTGATGTCCCCCCATGCTTTTACTGTCATGTTCCATGAAAAGTAACGTTTGATGAATAAATAATGAAGCTTTTCTCTCCTGCGCCACCATTAATAAATGAGCAATAATAAATTATGAACCCCATTCAATCTAGAGACACTGTGCTCTGAAACATCTGGTCCGCAGCAAAAGTGTTTTATTTTTTTTACCTCATCATTATTTTTTTTCTTTGTCTTGTGAGCTCCAGTTGTGTTTACTCATTCATCTGCCAAACTGCAAACCATCCTCCTCCTAATCCCTCTCAAATGGGCAATTATTGTGCAACAGTTGGTGGCTTGAATAACTCTGTACTTCCTGCTGTGAACGAAAGGTCACAAGTAGTAAATAAATCCAACCTTTTAAGCACCATCTTTACTTTTGCTACAGGGAAATGTGTTTTTGGTGATGCTGGATTGGTGATGACCACTTAGCAGAAAGAAAAATGACTCTTTTAGTGACACCACTTGTACATGCCATTCCCAAGTGGGCAGTCCTGGACCTCGAGTGCCGCCATCGAACATGTTTTAGTTGTTTCCCTGCTCCAAAACACCTTATTCAATGGTTGAATCGCCTGTTGGTTTTCAAGCTCTGCAGAAGCCTGTTAATTATCTACTGATTAAAATCAGGTTTGTTGGAGCTGGATAGCATCACTCGAGGACTAGGATTGCATACCCCTGTATTAAACTCTTCAGATACTTCTCCTCTCACCCAAAAAGTCAAAATATGATCCGAGGTCCAGTTTTTGTGATTTAATTTTTTGTTTGTTTGTTTGTTTGACACAACTGGCCTATTTTATGCAGTAACAGGTTGCTGGTTTACCTGCAAAGCATTGCTGCTTGTCTCATCTCCACCAGTGCCTTTGCACAGGTGGGCTCCTGTAAGGCAAGGCAAGGCAGTTTTATTTGTATAGCACACATAACCAGAAGCAAATCAGTGTGCTTTCCATTAGTGAGAATAGCACGAACATTAAAATCAACATGACAGCACAGTTAAACTACACACATTAATTTCTAATTTAAGAGTCAGAAAAACCACTAAGTTAAAGGGTGAGCAGTTACAGTGCAGAAGTCGCAGCATCAAAACATTCATTCAAAGGCTAATGAATACATGAAAGTTTTCAAACCAACTCTCTGGGCATAAGCGGGTCATCAGCTAGGGACCACCTCTCATAGATGTTTTGCTTCTTTAACCCCAGTACATCACCTGGCGGAGAGGCAGTGGCTGGGGTTTCTCCCAGCCACCCCTACTGATGACCTAGGGGTCATTTGACCCCCAGCTCCTGTCTCTTCTGAGCCTCTTCTGCCAGCTCTGTGACGGCTTTCTGACACTTTGCTCCTGTGCATCCCATGTCACAGAGCAGGCAAATTGTTGAGGACTTAGTGAAGTCCATTAAATTGAAGTAGTTGTTATACATTTTGAAAATGAGATGATTTAGTTTTTTATGATGGCCCAGCATCTATTGGTTTGTATTGGTATCGCAAATTAAGAGTTAGACAAAATTGGTATATCAGTATATCAATATATTGAATATCGATTAATCAGTATGTCAATATATCGGTATTTCAGTATATCGTTATACCGAAAAAGCTGAAATCAAACGTCCCCAAATGAAACTGTAATTTTACTTTTAACCTCTACTGGCCCTTGCTCAGATCTGCAGACCTTTTCAATTCATAGGGAACTTCCTCCTGAACAGAAACGTGTTAATTTGAGAACAAGTGAGAAACCCAGTAAACGGGTTTGGCCTGTGGGCACAAATGGCAACAAAACAACTTCATGTTTTGTTTATTTTTATTTTATTTTATTGAATGAGGAATGTCAACATTTCAGCAGATATTTTTCAGCAGCCAATATAAATATTATGTGTAATGACTGATTCCAGTTTGTTTAACTTCAGAACGACTTCACTAAATACATCATGATGAAAACCACCGATAAAATAAAACTCCAAATAAATCAAAATGAGCAAAATGGTCTTGTATTTGTATTTGCAGTACAAAAAAACTTTATTTAGTAGCACAAACATTTAGTAGTAAAAAAGCAATACACAAATCAGAATTTGGAAGAAAAAACATTGCCCTGTCCTGCTTGGCTTGTCTGAAAACATTTGATGTGCATCAGGTTAAACCGGGTCAGGCGTTTAACACAGACAGCAGATCTCTTCAGCCTCAGATTAGGTATTTATCACACGGATTTGATCCCATCAGCTTGTTGCTAACCCGGCTTGGTGTTTGTTTACAGCTGTCTTAAAGAGCTGACCTCCCAGTCAGCAGTGTGCCTCAGAGCAACAGGGACGTTTCTCTCATGCATTCATATATCTCACCACTCAGATCAGTTTTCCTCTAACTTCTCAAACCTTTCTTACCCTTCTCATACTCCTTCGCTTTGCCCTTTTATTTCCTGGCTACTTTCCATTCTGAACCTCTTGTACAGTCCTCTTACATTTATCACTTCTCTGTACTCCTTCCATTGCACCATATAAAGCTGTGGTTCCTGGAGATCTGATGTCCTTCATCTCTTTAAAAAAAGTCCTCCTAGCTATAACTGGCTCAGAGGCCAGTGGTATGAATTGAAAGGGCAAATCCTGATTGAACTGAGCTCCCAGTAGCAGTGAAAGACGAGTCGTTTTCCTCAAGGGCTCTGCAGAAAATTAAAAAGATTAGGAGTATTAAAAGTGTCACCTAAACCTGAGAGTCACCATCTTTT